AAAGAAAATTTTCAGAAAATCAAGTTAAGAGGAGTGAAAGTTTTGCACACTAGGATTGGACAAATGTAAAGTGAAGTGGATTTGAAGGGGAGAGCTGCCTTACGTCAATGTGAGTCTTAGAGTAGATGAGTTTATGCTTCCTTTGGGTACGGACAGTGTGGATCGGGCAAATAAAGGCCTTCATCGATGTTGTTTATTAGTTTACATCAGAGCTGTGTGATTTGCACATGTAAACATGCTGCAGCCCTTGCATAACGGTTTGTGTTGGCCAGAGAGCCAATCAAAGGCACCAGCTGAACTGACTCCCTTTTAGCATTGTTTGATGGCAGTACAGCGGTGCAACCGATTGCGGCTTGACTATATAAACGCTCATTTCATCGAAGCCTAGCACAAACTTAAGTGAACGCTAGTATGGAAACCAAACGAAGGTAAGTTTTATGCGCTGATGGGACTGCATTTCAATTCCTCTCCCTTAGCCGCGCAGAGGTTTTGAAATTGCTCCAATCTCTGGATCGCGACAACTCGGGCAAAGTCAGTGCGGGAGAGCTGATGGCTGTACTCGGAGATGAAGTGACTCATGAAGAGTTGAAAGCCTTTATTGCTCGTCATGACAAGGACAACGATGGCGAGCTTGATATTAATGAATTGGTTGACTTTTTCACTAAATAAATCGAGTAATATGCTCCAATAAATTAATTCCGACGATCTTAAAAATTACAGTTTCTCATCAAAATGTAGTAGTCAAGTTGGTCCAATGCCCTTTTCAGCCTGCATCCAATCTATGACATCCTGGATAAGCCTTATACTAGTGATCTGAAATGATTTCCTTGTTACATCATGCATGGATTGCTCCCAAGGGCAATCGTGCCTAGGGGAAATCTAAGGAAAGATGTCTTTGAAGTTGTTAGAGAAGTTCATTGTGGTCTTTGCACTTCAAAAGCACCCGAGGCAGCAAAAATCTTTAGCTGTTTGACGAACTTAAGTGTCCAAATCGTGCCTTTTCCATGCTAGATGTTACCGAACAATGCATTTTGTTGTGAGTTATGTGCACCACTGCTTGAAAACCCATTCATAGAGCTGCCTTGTTAGTCGGCAGATATATTGAGATAGAAGGAGGGAACTTCACCAAGTCAGCATTTCGCATTAGGACATCGCGTTAGACCCTTGTTCAACAAAGCGCTAAGCGTTCTTTAGGAAGGAAGCAGTGCTTGCTACTGATACGCCTCAAATCGTAAAGCAAAAAACATACTAAAGGATAATGGCCAAGCCAGCGCATCTGTCGACGTAAGCCCGTCGCTGGTGCCTAACAAGGCATGAGTCTTCATAGAGTGCACGCCTTGCACAGTCTTACCCTATGACAATTTGTCAGTTGTATTCGTTAGTAAACAATAGTAAATTCTGTCGCACTAGCCTATTTGCTAGTTATTTTAACACCCATTTGCATTAGGAGCGCTTCTTTCAAACAAACCTGAATTCATTAAATTGTAGGCATGTCAGTGACAACCAGTGAGTGATAAGGGGATGGAACATCAAATGAGATGGCAAAGCCCAATGTAATGGTTTAAACACAATTCCGAGATGTACACTTCGCAAATGTCGTCTTAACTTCCCTGTCGACGATAAATGACTTCTGATGTTGCACAACCTGGAAACTTGAGATCAAATATCATTTTGTCATTGCCTTCTGTTAGTTCATGCTTAACAGCCATCCTCTGGATAACATTCCGATGGCAATCGTTCATAGCATGTCTACCCGTTGCGGGGTGCACCTACATGATTCACATGTACAATTTTCGTACATTTAAACAATTACAAGAATGGGCGGTTTCTGTCACCACCTTCGGAGTTCCACCGTGTAGCATAACTTCTGAGCTGTGCTATTACTCTCCAGTATTCTGCCTTTATTTGTCTTCAGGGAAGTCACGAGTCGCTATTGCATGAAATTCACCTCTCTTTGTTCATTGTGACTAGGATACTTAAGGGAAATTTATAAAACTTGAAGAGATGCTTTCAAGATACTTGTCACACCTTGAGTGGAAGAATGTAACTCTCCTTCCACATCCCCAGCCTGGAGAACGTTAAGTGCCTCTTTTAGAGCCATCACTTTTGGTGTGGCACTAAGATGCATTTTCGAATGCACTGTGATGCAGGATTGATAGCCGATGGGTCATGTTTTTCATACTCCAGAGAAATCTACTCCACAAATTGGATTGGCTGTATTCACATTGTTCGTTTCCACATCTGAAAATACTTTTATTGGAAGAAATGCGAGGGCGCCGTTGTCCGCTTATACCGAGATTTAGACGCGAAGAAGACAGATAGAGAAGCACTAAGTACAT